TGATCACTTTTCCTTGCTAGAGAGCTGGAGAGACTTATTTCCTCTGGAGTTAGCTTAAGGAGGAGCCCTGGCGGCAGGGTGGTTATGTGTTAAGCTGCTAAGAGCAAGGTCAGCAGTTCAAAACCACCAGCTGCTCCTTTGAGAGAAAGATGGGGCTTTCTACTCCTATAAAGAGTTAGCATTTCAGAAGCCCACAGGGCCAGTTCTCCTTTGTCCTATAGGGTCACTGTGAGTCGGCAGGGACTGGATGGAGGGCAGTGAGTTTGGATTTAGTTTGGAGTTCGCTATGGTCCGTTGTGTGCTTCAGACAGTGTGTCATGCGGGCTCCGATTGGTTGCTGTTCAGGTGTGGTTCTGCCGTCGTGTCTGCATTCCTAGTGAGTCATAAAGCTCCGCTTCCATGTTTTAATTTGGTTGATGGCGTTTTTTGTCGGTCTCACTAATGGTTTTTATGGTGAACTGCACGGAGGTCTACGGGGCAGATCAGTTTCCCAGTCCACCGTTTCATCCCATGGCTCGCAAAGCTCTGTCACGGACCGCCGCTTCCGCCCTGTGGGTCCTACTGCTAATTTCTTCTCTCCAACCCTTCTGAACGTTGTCCTTGGGTACGTGCTGCCCTTTAGGTCAAACGGCGGATGATTTGCGTGGGTGCATATTTCACTGATTGCTCAGCCACGGGGGTGAGTTCATGTTGAGATCAGTCAACTGGGTCCTTTTTTTTTTTTTTAGGATTTTGAGATTTGTTCCTCATTTTCCTCCCATTCTGCTCAGTACCTTCGAATGGATCCCTGTCAAAGCAGTTGTCGTGGTCGCCAAGCTCCGTCTGGTCCTTCTGGGTCTCGGGTTGTGAGCCTGATGTTCCTGGGGCTCTGTAGACCCCTGGCTCATTGTTTCCACGCCTTTGATTTTCCTTCACTTTGCTTCCTCTGGACAGGGAGGGAAGGTTTGTCGATTTTATTGATCTCAAAGGAACTTTCTGATACTGTTCTATTTTTGTTTGTTTGTTTGTTTTCCATGCTATTTCTGCTCTGATCTCTGTTACTGCCTTTTTTCTGGTCGGCTGGCTTAGGCGGCTTGCTCTCTCTTTACTACTTCCTGGAATTGTTGAGTTAGGCTGTTGGTTTGAGATCTTCCATTTTATCCTGTAGGAATTTCTCGCTATAAGTTTCTTCTGAGTACCGTGTCTCCGAAGTTTGGATATATTGTACTCTCATTTAACTCTGGGAAATATCCTTTTGCTTCCTTTTGCTTTCTTCATTGACCCCATTAGTAGTTAAATAATGTAGTGTTTAATTTCCATATGTTTAGGTATTTTCCAGATTGTTGATTTCTAGCTTCTCTCCTCAGACAAAAGACTTTGCATGGTTTCAATCCTTTTAGATTTACCAGGACTTGCTTTGCTATGTGACATGTGGGGTAACATGTGGTCCAGCGTCGAGAATGTTCCCCGTGCACTGAAGCAGATGGTCTGCTGTACTCTTGTTGGCTGGATTTGTTCTATACAGTGAACCCTCGTTTATCGCGGTTAATCGGTTCTAGACCCTACCGTGATAAATGAAATTCCGCGAAGTAGGATTCCTTATTTGTAAATCAAA